AAATGACTACATCTACCTCTGTGTTGCTCTAGTGAAATATATGCAAATCGTTTTGTTTTTCTTTTCTTGTGTTACATCAAAACACCGGTACCTTCAAACTATAATGTATTTGCATTTATGTTGTCGTCGACGGTGTTGTTGTTGTTGTTGTTGTTGTTGTTGTTGTTGTTGTTGTTGTTGTTATTGTTTTGTGGTGGTTGTGTTTGCGGTGTTTTTTGTTGTTGTTGTTATTATCGTCGCCGTCGTCGTCATCGTCGTCGTCGTTGTTGTTGTTATTGTCGTTGCTGTTGTTGGTGTTGTTGTTGTCGTTATTGTTGCTGTTTTTTGTTATTGCTGTTGATATTATAATAGAATGACAAAGAACAAGCATACCTGGCGGCAAACTTCCGTGTGAAAACGACCATTGACATGTACGGCAGCGGCCACCCGGCCACCTGGACCGGCCTCATCCTGCTGGCGTCCACGTACATCAACCTACGGGACTACAGCAAGGCTGGCTCTTGTCTTTCCAAGGTGACTGGTCGTCGAGACGATAGCAATCTCTTCTCGTTGCTGTTGTTGTTGTTGTTGTCGTTGTTGTAGCATTATCTTTTTGTTGTTGTTGTTGTTGTTGTTGTTGTTGTGCGTGTATATGTGGTAGCCTATCCGTTCGAAATGTTTGGAGCCCCGAAGAGCGTGCTCTTCGCCAGGGCCACCGCCTCCCTTGGGCAGTGGGTGAGGCAGTCCAACCTCCCTGACTGAATCCTCCCCGAGAGAAGCCACCACCGGTTGTTGTTGTTGTTTTTGTTGCTGGTGGTGGTCTTGTTGTTGTTGTTGTTGTTGTTGTTGTTAGTGGTGGTGGCGGCGGTGGTGGTGGTGGTGCTACTGCTCTTGTTGTTATTGTTAGTGCTGTAGTTGTTTTGTTGTTGTTGTTGTTGTTGTGGTGGTGGTGGTGGTGGTGATGCTGGTGGTGGTGCTGCTGCTGCTCGTGTTGTTATTGTTAGTGCTGTAGTTGTTTTTTTGTTGTGATGGTGGTGGTGGTGGTGGTTGTTGTGGTGGTTGTGGTGTTTGTTGTTGTTGTTGTTGTTGTTGTTGTACGGGCCCTGTACATGTCCCATTAATGACCAATTATTACAGTTTTGAGCATCATGGTTTGAGATATATATGAAAGTAAAGGAAAGAAAACCTCAGATGTATAAAAGAGAAGGAAAGGACAACTCAGTTATAATAGAGTAAAGGAAAAAAAATGTTTAAAAAACACTAAGAAGATGTACCACATTATACAATGATGATGAAAATTACAATTAATGTTGACTTACTTCGAGCACAAACGTTTATGTAAGCCATCCATGAGTTTAAGGAGTGGGTGGTTGGCGGGTACTCTGCTGTGTTTAGCCCCTTCTTCCCTATCAAACATCTATCGTCCTCATCTCTCGTCTTTCTATCTTTTTGCGTTTGTTACTCTCCAGTAACGCCTTTAATATTGGGCACTTATATTACCTAATTGTGTTGCAAGTGCTATAAAACCCTAAACGTATCAAAACAAAAGGGAGCAATGAATTGGTAATTACTGCTGATGTTCGGTTAAATGTTGGTCTTGTTAGACGCAGAAGTTGTACGGATAAAGGCTTACATCTATTTACGTTCCGTATTTCTAGGTTGATTACTTTATTTTGTATTTCTCAACTGTTACAGATCCAGGCGTCTTTACTTGATCAAGATATCAAGTGTCCCTTGGAGCTCGGTGCGGAGCTGTCCCGTGTCTATGGCCTCATAGCAGAAGGTCAAGGTAGGGGAAACAAAGAATGTGTGGTCAGTATTGTTATTGATGGAAGTGTTTAGAGGGGGAATGTAGTTTGCACTTTTCTCTTCCAGTTCAGTTTTTTAAAACTGAAGCTGCAGTCAAACAAGTAGAAAGTGATAGGCCTACACGGGTTCAAGAAATAATGAATGCAATCATGATCTTACACTATACTGTCATGTCATCTCCAACTAAGAAGAAGAAGAAGAAGAATAATGAATGCAATCATGATCTTACACTATACTGTCATGTCATCTCCAACTGTCATCACAGGCAGAAGATATTCGGAGACGTCTCCGGCGAGCACCTAGGAACTATTCGGAGACGCTGTCCCGCACACAGATGTACTGCTTTTTTTTTGGGGGGGGGGGTCAAACTGCGATTTACTTGCTGCAGATCACACATATAGCCACTAAAATTGTCGCAAATCAATTATTTTCAAACAAAAATTCAAACTTAACTTCAAAATATCCAATTATGGGTTAAAACAAGGGGGCATGCCCCCATGTAACCCCCTAGATTTTTGTTTTACTTGGTCTAGAGGCGCAAAGTATTTTGATTGGTCTATCTCCGTCGGAGACATCTCCGAATAGATACAGCGGTCATCACCACTGCCACCCTTATCGTCATCGTCAGCATTCTCGCGTAATTGACATGACATCAACTTTATTATTATAGTGTCTGTTAACAACATCAGCACCTGAACCAACTACACGCCTCCTTCATACCCGTCATCACGACTACCACCACCACAACCACCATCATCATCATCAGCATCATCATCATCAGCATCATCATCATCATCATCATCATCATCATCATCATCATCATCATCATCATCA